GCGAAGAGAACGATGACTCGCACGAGTTCTCACTTGTTGATATCAGCTGTTTTCCCTTATCACCTCACTCTCACCACTCCACGTGGAGAGAAGCAGCAATGGAACAACCGCACCATCAGGCAACCATTAGAAATGAAGTTGGGTGGCGTGGTCGGCAGGTGGGCGGAGCCGTCGGCTCTTTGCGGGCGGACGCCGCTGTTCCGTCGCATTTTTGGGTTGCGAAACATGCACGTCCACCATCCTCATAGGGGGACTAGATCCAGAGAGGGCGTGAGAACAACAAATGAACGCGGGCGCTGCCTTTAATTCCCTGTTTGAAGCGGGGGAAAAACAAATGAAAATCAAAGCAAATTCAGGTCCCGGCATATGGACAGTTTGTGAGATAGGAAAGAGTGCGATGCAGAGAAAATTGTTACCAAAATCTTACTCAGGTTAGTATCGGGGAACTTGACGACCTGTCCGAGCTTGAATGGACAGGGTCTTCCCGCCATCTTTTCAAAATCCTTGAACAGTTTTTTGAACTGTTCGGGTTCACTTTCGGCTTTCCAGAAGTACCTGAAAGCGACAAGCCACTTGTGTAAGCTTTGAAAAATGTGACGAAATTTTCCTAAGAAAGGATGTAGCAGCTCACTTGATACACCGAATTTTTCCTTCCATTTTTTGGAACTGCCCCACATGCTCAGGATGTTCATTACAAGCTGTAAGGATATGAGATGATACACGCCGATTTCCAGCCTTGGCAGTGGTATCCATCCCAAGTTTCTTGCCGATCTAGAAAATATGTTAAGAAACGTACTAGTTCATAGAGTAGGGATACCAACCTCAGCTCGCCCCAGCCCTTCAGTGCCATGTTCTCGAATGGTGGACAAAACAATATCAGAGGGCAACCGATACAAATACAAGGGACTCCATGATTCTTCATTATATGATAAATATGGAGTTCCTTAAACAAAGGAGGAGCAGTCAAGAATGCATGCCAAAGGGATAAACAAAAAACAAACAAACTAAGCACCAAGAGTTTGAAAATTTCATACAGAAGCCCTGCTCACCTCCAGTTGCACAAAAATTCGTGGTAGTTACCGGAGCCACATCAAGTAAATCCAGCAGCGGCGAGAAGCCTCTTCCTTTTTTATTCGCCTTCTTCTTAGATTTAGCGATATTTGCAGCCTACAAATAAAGTGAATACTTAGCAGCTGAACTTGCATGAGATG